TCTCCTTATAGATGAAAAGACAAAACCATTTAAATACTAAAAAATAAAAAAAATAAAAAAATCCAACAAAAGGAAAAATATTCAATAAGAAGAAAATGAAGAGACAAGTTTTGGCTATTTAAATTCTCTGCAAGAGACTAAAATAGAATCAATATGGTTAATCTAAATAAAACTTCAAAACCAATTATTTAAGCAACCTAATCTAATTTAAGTAAAATAGATGAAAAAAACTTGAATTCGTTGTGTATCTCAAAAATAAATAAATAAGATTTCAAATTTCAGTCAAATAATAATAATTATTGCAACTAAATATATTCCAAGATTGAATATGATCCACTAAAAAATTGGAAAAAAAAAAGATAAAACAAAAATAATAAGATTTAATCTTATAAAATCAAAATAGTATCAAATTTTGATTAATTGAAAAAGTTTTAAAACTCAAATTTACAATAAATGGGAGCTCAATTTTTCGAATTGGAATACATAGAAACTGCAGTTTAGGCTATAAAAATACAAAATTGCCTTAAGGTGAAAAAATATATTTCGGTGCAATATGAATTCAAAAACATATACTTTGTAATATATAATACAGAATACTCTGACACTTTTTTCCTTTAATTTAATTAAAAAATATAATTTACATTTTTTAAAATAATTTTATCATAAAAATATATATAAAAGAAAATCACATAATATAAATATAAAATATATAAAAAAAAATCAAACCTCATATACGCACAGGCTAAAATAATTAGAAAATAAATTAATAAGAGTAATATTTAGTTTTCTTTGTTATTTGATTATAATTCTAAAGCAATTGAAACCAAAGATTTCAAGAAATCTAATTATATTTTTATTTAAGTTTAGTTCTATAATTGAGAGAAAAGAAAATATCGTATGATTTATTAATTGAGATAATAGTAAAAGAAGAATGAATTTTATTGGATTATAAGATGAAGATTAATAATGAATATTTTATGAATTTTTTTTATAAAACATATGATGCTTTTTTAAAAAAATTTTGTAACTTTATTTGTTTAAATTTATGCATTCTTTTCTTCGTAGATTATTAAAGGTTTGAATTTTTTTTTTCTTTTGTTAAGGAGGGAACTTTACTCATAA